CCCCAAAACCCCAAAACCCCAAAACCCCAAAACCCCGATTTCGTTTAGTTTAATTGAACCACTATGAACGGAACCTAGAGCTTCCATGCACTCTTCATCATTGCTTCGAAGTATTCGTCAGTGTCCACTGATGCGGAGACATCGCTGAAGTAGTCGTAGAATTCTTCGATGGTAATGATTCCGTCTTTCTCCTGGGTGTCCCATTTTTGCATGAATTCGAGAATCACTTCTTGCTCCGTCTTTTTGCCATCCATCACATCAGGGTGCTGGGAAGCGTCGTACAGCTTTTCGATGTCGTCAAGCTTGACCAGCCCGTCTTTGTTAACATCTAACTTGTCATAAGCTTGGTTGATAAGGTTCTTTCTGAAGTCGTTGAGGTCTCCACGAAGGAATCTGAGAAACTCATCAAAGTCAATGGTTCCACTTCCATCTCTGTCGATATGCTTCAGAAGCTGTGCTGCCTCTTCCTTGGTAATTGTGATTCCGAAGTCAATGAGTCCCCATCTGAAGTCGTCAATGTCCAGTTGGCGGTTACCATTGTCATCCATGGCTCTGAAGATTCTACCGAGGCCTCTGATACCGAAAGATGACCTTTCGAGCAGCCTCCCTTTGATTTCTCTTAGCAGGTCTTCGAAAGTGAACTCTTCGTCACCTTCGAGCGGTACCGAGTACGATGGGTCAGGAGCCGTGCAAACCATCCACACGTTTGCGTCTTCAGGGTGTTTTGTCGGAACATCTGCCGTTATCATGCCTGTCTTTTCGAGAGCAAGGTTCTGGGTTTTCTTGCCTGGAGCGATGCACACACTCACTTTGAATTCGTCTCCGTACTGGTTCTTGTGCTTGACAAGGTCCGAAGCCAGGTAGCGGCCTGTGTTCGAATGCTTGATCAGGACTGGCTCATTAGCAGGCACTTTTTCTCCGTACATTTCGAACCTGATTTTGGGGTCGATGTGATCGATCTCCCAGACACAGTCATAAGCGTTTTTGTGGATTACTCAGACTTCTTCACCCTTGGCGCTTAAGCTTGCTTTTCGTGAGTGCCATGAGAACTTGATTTTCTGTCCATAATGAATATCATTTCCTTCAAAGCCATCTAATTCTTCATATCTTCCCATAGTATAAATATTTCTTCCATTGGGTCCAGCAATGTTTGTTGTTGTAGTCACTCCATATCCTTCCAATTTCTCAAATAAATTAGTTACCAAAACCCCTGTTGTTTTCTTATTACTAAGCATAATATGGTCTCCAAAATGTAGTAAGCCGTCTTCTGAATAAGTCTGTGGAACTCTTTTCTTCGTCTTGGCAAATGAAGTATGCATCGCAGTGACTCCTAATTCAGAATTTTGCTTATTTAGAGTCATAATCATTCGCTTTGATCTCTTCTAGTGCCATTTCTTCATACCAATTCCCGACCTTGGTCTTGTGGCTATACTTCTGGCCGCCAGTCATCTGTTGAGGAGTATACAGCATTTTTGAAGATCTGTATTTTAATTTAAATTTATTTCATTATAAGAATATTTATAGGGGTTTTGGGGTTTTGGGGTTTTGGGGTTTTGGGGTTTTGGGGTTTTGGGG